GGTGAAAAGCGGAACGCAAATAAAATATCTGGCTGCAAGTTGCATGGATTTCCAATTTCTCCTTTGCTCTTCTTAAGACTCAGAGTATATTCAATCTGTTTGAAGAACAGGACAAATTTCAAAAGAATGGAAATATATATCTCTGTTTATTCACAACACAGCTCTAGTTTTCACTTTCCTCCCCTTGAGCGCATGGAAACGAGTTTGGTTTAATCTGTCGTGAAGTTAAGTGATATTGCTTAAGGTTATAAGTTTTAGAGTCAGCAAGTAATTCACTTTTCGATGCATGGATATGGAGTACATATTCGTCCACGTTGGAATTTGCAGGATCCCTGACATGCTTTTAAAAAGCTGTTAATAGGTGACCAGTCATTGTTGCGGGGGGTCCGGAGGATTTTGGGAGGTCATATGGTTCTCGGGGGGAACAGAAAGGGATCAGTTGTCGCTAACAGAGTATAAAGGAGTAGGGGACTTAAAAGGAAATTGATTGAAAAAAAATATATAATTTCTTGCTGTAATGCGGAGGGATCAGAAGAATATCATAGAGCCTTATGGGGAATCACTTAACTTTTGTCCCGACACCACCGAAATCCTCCGACCGCCGTACTCCCCATCCGAAAAATTTTTAAAAAAATTGAATTAAAAAATTAAATGAAAACGAAAAAGACAATCCTTGGGGTGCCGCTTTTGAAAAAGACGCAGGGCGGTTTGTTATGACGCATTGATGCTCAAGAGAAGTGTTAATTGAGCGGATAATCTCTGTCGTCAGTGAAGACCACACACTTTATTTGCACCGCAGACTAGGGACACAACTCCACTTTCATCGTATGAACAGCTTGCGTGATGTTTGCCGAGTGTCTGAAAGTGGAATTTAACATACGGATACTGATGAAGAACTTTCGTCATGCGTTGACCCATGAAACCATGATAACTTTTAATTGAAGACCTGCAATCATGAATACCTGAGGCTTTCTTTTGTAAGCTTTCTTTTTTTGCAAAGGGAAATACTCCGTGGCATGTGAATCGTCTTTAAAAACACGAGTAAACATTTTCTTTCAAAGAAACTGTCTACTTGCGAGGCAGGCTCAGTGATCCGGCCAAATAAAGGTCTGCACAGGTGATCCTGAGAAATGATACGCGCGACTTGTCCTAACACATTGGAAGTAGTAAGCCATATCACGACAGGAGCAAATATATTGCGGAGTGTATTTTACTACTATGATGAAATTAAGACCGATATGTCTTTGGTGAAAATTTTCAAGGCGTACTTTCACTGATAGTAGTTGTGAGCTTATCCTTTAGAAGTAGCGATAATATTTTTTGGCTCAACAGGTATAATCATGATATCTGTCAAACCGCAAACCGAAACAAAGGACACTAATTGTCAGAGGCTGGCCACCACATCCACGAGAATTTTTGCAAGCGTTGGACAGCCTTTTCTACCAATGACTATACGACTCATACGGCCTTTAATGTACATTTGTAACTCTCAGACTGTAAAGTTCACCGGTAATACTGTCGCATGGGTTGGCAGTTAACATATTTGAATTCAGCAAACGAATAAAATGAACAATCGGAGAAACAGCAAGAGAAGTGGAAGCAGTTATTAATGATGGTCCTCTTCT